CACATGATAGTAACATGAGTTAGTTGGTGAAATAATGTGGAAAGCGACACAATTTTGCACCGGATAACGTTAGCAACTGCTCTGCTGACGTGACTCTCCGTGTTTTTTCATCCTTTCAGATGTTCACTGTTCTTACTCGACATCATCTGAACCTGTTCTGATGATGGGCTTCAGCACAAAACCTGAAAATTAAATGAAATCAAAAACTTACATATAGCCCCTTTAATAAGAAAAATAAGACTAAGAATACATCGAATTAAAGCCTCTCAAGGTTAAATGTGTAACTACAGCACAGGAAAGGGCAGAGGCTAGCTGGTTAGCATGCTAACCCCTGCAACACGTAGACGTTGCTTCTTCACATTCTGTTCTCACACAGTGCACCTTTAAATCTGAAAATCTTAAAAATAAAACGGAGAAAATACTTTATTGAACGAACCAGCCTGTCGTCATGTCAGATGATTTCCCACAGTTCCCTGCGTTAACAGCCCAGCCTCAGTAAAAGCAGCAGTGCCGTCGCTCTGGGCTGTTTACACTCTGCTATTTAAAGGAAACCCAGCAGTGAGAGAGACGCCGGGAAACAGGAAGCCGCAGAGGGAACGTCTTACTCCACACTGACCTCATCTTCACTGGACGTTCCTTCTGCTTTTTCGCTGCTCACTTTCCTTTTCTCACATCTGCAGGCTCTAAAACATGACACGAGATCTAGCTGACGGACAGCAGCACAAGTGGAACCTGACTCTCTGTTCCAGCGCTTAAATTATGAGCAGGAAAACAAATACTTTTCCAGACGTTTGAGCTCGTTCCCCAACTCTTCTTGTACTTAAAATTATCACATTTGTTCTGTGGCCTTTTCCAAACCTGCAGAGGCAGCAGAGTAATGCTCTTATTTTACTGACTGGCAGTAGCCTTTATTACTGCAGCATTAGTAAACACAGAGAGAAACCGGCCGTCGTCTCGGAGCCTTTATTTGGTACTGCGGTGAACGTTGATGACGTTTCTTACGTCTGTTTTGAAGCACCAGATGAAATTTCAAGTGACACATTTAGGTGGCACCGAAAATCTGAAAACATGTCGGTGCTAGTTTTGCTAGGTGGCGAAGGTGGAAGACAACAAGTGCAGCTGCAGCGACGGCGCCGCCTCGTCAAATAGGAAAGAGAAAGGAAACGAGGTGAATTTCACTGGTATCAGCAGGAACCGGTTCAGTAACTGGCACTGGGTTTTGGTACCCAACCACAGCAAAGAGCGGGAAGAGAGAGACAGAAAGTGTCCATGAAAACGCCAAACAGCGCGTCTACTTTCACACCGAGCTAGCCTACAACAATCACACGTCAATGCTTCAACACCTCAGCGGAAAGTCTGTGCATCCAGTCCACAGACACAAGATCACGAAGGCCAGTAAAGTTAATAATGACTTTCTGTAATGGCCAGTTACCCATGTACATCAATGTGGTGGCTAATTCTGTCGTCTAGCGAGGTTCTGTTCAAGATATTAACCAACGCTGCAGACCTGAGCTTCATTCATGTTATGTCTTCTGTCACAGTTGTTGTCTACTTATTTCTTGCCATAGAAAAGACACTAACAGCTTATGTTATGCCTGAGCTGTAGTTATAGTTCCCCTATTTATATTAATTCTGCATTTTAGAAATGTTTTTCTTTAAAACCCGAGATGTAAAATGGCACTAAATGGGTTGCGGCAGTCCTGTGAGAGATACTTTGCTGTCATGTAAAGGTGCATTCAGTTAGTTAAATTGTTAAGCAAAGGTTGGTTATTTTTCTCTCCATGTAAAACCCAGTGATTTTAGGCGTGTCAGAAATTCAACCACGCGTTAGTCTGGCAGCATGCAGTTGCTGGCTGAGTTCCACGTCTGTTTTGAAGTATAAACTGCTCCCAGGCGGCTGGTGGTTAAATGTAAATTCCTGCGCTGGAGAATCGACGTGTCGGATGAAGGTGTGAAACCACAGTCCGACTGGAAAAGCTGCGAAACAAGTCGTCCTCACGTAGGAGGGCAGGCGGAGGTATGCAGGCTGTGAGGAGACAGAGCTCAGCAGACTCTGGCTCGTGTCCCGGAGGTTCATCAGCCGAGGTGAAGACTTAAGGCTGAAAAGATGTGTTTGGACTGTTGGGCGAACCTGGAGGATGTTTACAGACCTCACCTCTGCCTTTTATTGCACAAAGCAACTTAGGCAGCGTGACGTAAAGTCAACTAATCAATTAATAGACGGACAATAAATTTACTGACGAATCAGTGACGGGGTTTGTTTACTTCATAGTTTGCTTGCTTCTGGAAATGTGTTGCTCTCACAGCAGCACCTCTGTTCAAATATTTTAACCATTCTTCACTCTGACTTGTTCATCTGAAAGCCTCGTAAGCAAACGTGCTTCCTGCTCGAGCCTGTTTAAATGTATCCGACACCGTTACCAATGAAAAAAACAACTTTACAGCTAAATAAATTCCCCATTGTTTCCCGTCCTTATACGCGTCACCACCTCCACATGTGAGCACATCTGCTTTAACATATTTTTGGAAATACATTTCTACAGTGGCAGGCAGCGACCCCGGGTGTAACCATGACCCTGAAGGTTTGCGTCCCCGTCTGTGTTAATGTTTTTAGTCCAGTGGGTAGGAAACTTTACTGTCTGTTGCTAGCAGGACGGCCCTCCTACATTTCACCCAAAAACAGCGGCAGCAGGCATGAGTGTCTTGCACGGCGGGCTGGACGCCGGCAGGAAGTGGAAGCGAAGCGTTCCGACTCTGATCGCAGCAGTTAAAAGCCGGGCGGCAGTTAAAAGCTGGGCGGGCTTTGGCAAAACCAACAGAGGAAGACGAGAGCAGAGGGACGAGTGTGGAGGCCGGGAGGAGAGGCTAATGCCATCAAAGTCAACCAGCAGCCAGAGCTAATTGAAATTAAAGACCAGAAACGAGGACGCGGGGAGGGAGGGAGGGAGGGAGGGAACGGCGCTGCTTTCACAGGCGCAGTGGGAAAACTCAGCCATGAGGTCTGAGGGCTGGAATGATATTTGCTCCTGGCTGCAGCCTGCCGGACGGCTGAGAACAGAAAACCGTAGGTTTACCAGCCAGACTCTAAACATACACACTGACAGACGCCATCTTGCTTTCAAACATCTCTTCAGACAAACAGTGTCGAGTGTTTCGTTCCCTCTCATCAACTCATTTCCACAAACCCCGCGTGAAGCACGCAAAAAAAAAAGTTGCTTTTCCAACATTTCATCTCATCTGAGCAGATTCAGCCTCGACGCTCAACGGCCGACCACCAATCACAGTAAAGCTGGTCAGACGGTCTAATCCGGGCGGGGAGGAGACGGCTCTGTTAGTGGTAAGCTGACAGGGGTTCAAGGACCCGGGGGTCAGGGGGTAGGAGGACTCAGGGGTCATGGATAGAGGTCAGGGGCCACGTCACTTCAGGGGGATCACTGCGCCTATAAGGCAGGAGGATTAGTGAGAAAGGAAAAGAAAATCCCACCTCATCAATGAACTCTATACAACCGGGAAGCCTGGCGGCTCAAGACCGCCACGGCTCAACTTTACCGTCCCTGAAAGGTTTCCGCTCTCCGTTCAAGCTACTGGTTTGACTTTGATAAATGATTTCTTCCTGCACTACTCAGTTCTGAGCTCGTGTTTGTCTTTATATGTTGCAGAGATTTGCATTTAATGACAGCTTCCTCAATCAGTGTTCAATCGATGCCGAACAGCTTCGTCCAGTAGCCTAAGCTTTTATTTTGAGATGTGTCTGAGTGAGAGAAGGTCCTGTAACCTGCCGCAGTGTTGGAGGAAATGTAAAAGTCTATAATCAAGGCTTATTATGAACACAGAGTTGAATGGACCCCAGAGAGAATAGCCAATAAAGAAAGAAAGAAAACCAGAAAAGGCAAAAATACTATCGGTGCATTTCTCTTAAAAAATGTAAAATAATTAAAATAGTTTGATTCGTCTGCACAAAGAAACCAGGGTGGTTTAATTTAAAGTCGCCCTACATAAGAAGCAAGTCGTGGTTAAAAGGCGTAGAGCTGCAGCGATTAGTCGATTTATCGAGAATTAATTGACGACTATTTTGATCATCAATTAATCGTTTCAGTCATTTTTTTCAAGCAAGAGTGTGAAAAATGAACGGGTTTCAGCTTCTTAAACGTGAGAAACTGCAGCTTATTTAGTCATTTATGATGAAATGAAGAGTCTTTGGGTTTTGGACTGTAAACATCAGTTCTTTTAAATTAAGACTGAAGACTTTTTTTTACCGCTGCCTTTAACTAGTAGCAGATAAGTTACACTGCACTGTAACTTTTACTGTCCTGTTTTCTTTTTCTTTAGCTTTTTACCATTGCTTTTAATTAAATGTTTACACGGTGAGAAATGAGTGAAAAGATAATGAGTCAGATTGAACAGAGTGAAGGAAGTGGTCTTAAATCTCGCGCCTGAGTGATTTGCAGGAACCTCTGTCCACCTGTAAACGTGCAGGTGGGTCCAGAGTATAACTGGATCAAAGCGGTCCTGGTTTCTCTGTTGTGTCCGAGGGTTTCTGGAGTTTCGGTGGACCCAAAGATTGCTGTGGACCGAGTACAGTACAGTACAGAGTACAGTAACGTGAGTACAGACTAGCTAGAGAGAGTAGTTTAAGTGTATTTCTGTTTATTCTCTTTTCAAAATAACTGTAACTCAGTTATTTGCTCAACCCCTCAGCCTGTTTTTATTTTCCGTTTAACTCTTTTAACCCTGATTGTAACACTGCACTGTAACTTTTAGTATTTTTTCAATTTCCCCATGCTACTTTTTTTTTCATATTTCCCTGTTGCTTTTATGTTTTATGTAAAGCACTTTGAATGACCTTGTTGTTGAAATGTGCTCTACAAATAAACTTGCCTTGCAGGTTGGACTATATGATGAATCCTGAAAATAATCGGCAGATTAGTTGGTAATGAAAATAATTTGCAGCCCTTAAGATTTATGTAATTCTATGTCCTAACTTGGGTTTTATTTCTTACCACTTCAACAAAATGCTGTAAAGCAGAGAAGGAAATGGCGTGTCGCTGCGGCCGGCCCGATCTGACCTCCGGGGGACAAACGCTGGACGAGACTGCAGACAAAACACAGCTGAGTTATTTACTACAGTCAAAACACTATTCCCTGTTGTTCTGTAAAGTTGTGAGCTCTCTAAATATAAAGATCTGATTTCATTCCTGCGGTTTGGCGAACCCTTCACATTTCTTAACCCTCTAGGAATGCAGTCGCTGCCGTCACGTGACCGCGCAGAAACAAAAAAAAAAAAAAAACACACACACACGGCCGCAAATAATCACATTTTCATGTGTGGCGGGTGAGAAAAAAAAAAGGCAGGTTTGACTTGAAATAGATCTTGGCAGCGCCTCCGCCCCCCCACTCCCTCCATTAGGAGGAGGGGAACGCTTTCTCCGCTACCATCAAGCCACTGTGGTCGGGTGATCTGAATTATTCACTGGGTGTATTTAAAGCAGGGATCGATACCATTAAAGGACAGCTGGAGCCGCTGAACAAGGAGGCTGCGTCGACCTTCAACCGAAGGCCCAGAGAAGGAAGGCATCATGGGAGAGCTTTCTGTTTGGCTGCAGAGATTACAATCAGTTTCAAAACATCTGAAGTCATCAGTGTGGGCTGTGGGACGTCACGGAGGATAGACCGAATGATTAATCAATTAACAAGGTAATAATCTGCAGATTAAGTTAAAAAGGAAAACGGCAAGAAACCTGGAAACTTCAGCTGTAAAGCTTTCCTGATGCTTTTATCGACCAGTTCATCTCAGGGGACGAACGAAATCTATAAAGTGCTTTCAGCAAGAAAAATCAAACGTATAAAAGAGAAAAAAAACTCCAAAACAAACAAGATACAAAACCATTAGAGAGTCATTTCTGTATGTTTAAACTGGGCCCTGTTTTCACATGTGTTGGTTCAGAAAGTTGAGAATCCAGACAGACGGGATGCGATCAATCCAAATATTCAGCGCTTGTGGGACAAACGTTATAAAATATAAAATGCATTTCTCTAATTCCCATCAATCCAGTCCCCGACTTCCCTGAGATTTGTATCTGAAGGACTGGAGAGCAGAGAGAGAGCTGACGCCTGACTGTCTCTTTGCTGGAAGGATGTTAAAAAGCCTAAAACGGGCTCAGACTGTTACACCAGGCGTCTGACTCCTGGTGATGCCATTTGTTTCCTCGTGAGAGGCGAGTTGTTGCAGTGAGACGCCGGCGGAAACGTGAGTCAGAGTTGGAGAGAGGAGTTTGTTGTGTTGGAGTAACGTTAGGAAATAAATTCTTGCTAGCAGCTCCTCTACGTACACGACAAACTCCCCTCCCTCGTTTCCACCGGCGTCTTGCCGGGCTCCAAACGTGCGCCCACAAATCTGCCGTGTGAGACTAAATAAAAGATTCTTGGTAGAACTGGAACCAAACATTTTGCAGGACGATTTTTTGTCGGCCGAACCGCTGTGTCCGTGCTCTCCCCAAAACTCACTGGCGGAAGAAGGTGAGCCAATCAAAAGCAGCGAAGTGGCGCTGGATTTATCATTTTAAACTGGCAACGCACAGACCCTCACATTTATACTTCAAGTGTGTTGGTGTCTGGGTTGCTTTGCAGTAACTCCGCCAAAGCGCTGGCTGGCGGTGGGGTGTCCTTCCCGTTTGGCCCTCTGCTGACTTGAATGGGGGTTAAATAATTATCGTGCGTCTCTTCTAGACTTTCCAAATGTTATCGACCCAATGGATCAAACTCTGACAGTGAAGCGAGTCATGTTGCGGGTTGTTTGGCCGCTAGTAAAACTGGCTTCAAAGCACGACGCTACCAAGCCGACCAATCACTCTTCTTGTCCTCGGCGTCGCCGCGATGTGTAGTTACATTTTTCGGGTGGCGCACGTCAGGCTCCTGTTTACAATCATTTACATATCTATGTTTGGGAAGTAGGGCTGAACGATTCGGTGATTATTTAAAAAAAAGTTCCGTTAAAGTTCAATATTTACTGCCAGTCTATTTTTCACTGAAGCCACGTCAAGCAGCACGGAGCAGATGAACCGGGCAGGAAGTCAGACACAGAACGGCAGAGAGAATCCGGTCGATTTTCAAGATAAAACACCCTGTGGAGACTCCCGAACGTATACATCAACAAAACAGACAAAAAACAGACAAAAAAACCCCAAACAATTAAACTACGTAGCCTACCGAAACATGACAGAAGCACAAAAATCAAATTAACAAAATCTGAACAAGTCAGCAACATTAGGCAGGCAAACGCTCTTATTCTGAAATGCTCCATGTGGGATATGTAGGCTGCACCGAGCGGAACGAAACACAAATTAACAGCACGTCAACAACGTAGGGCGGCTAAACGCTCCGGTCAGTGCGAGTTGAGCCGCTGCCTGTGTCTGATCGCCCGACGCAACGTTTTCCTCCCGTTCGTTTGTTGTTGTAAAATGTACACGCCCCGCGGCCGCTCTGACTGGTGACCGTAAGAGGAGGAGCATGGCACTTGTGATTGGTTAGCAAGTCTAACACACAAAGATGACAATGGAATCTGGACAATTAACCTACATTTTAATCGCAGTTTTGAACCTAGACAGAAGGTTGGAATATAAAGGTGCTGTGAAATATTTGGGTTGCGGTGCACCTAAATGAAACCAGTGCAACGAATGCAGGTAGTAAGTCTGGAGCACTGGACAGGCACAACTACCAGCTGCCAGCCTCCACTACACGGATTCAAACCTTTCTGTACCTGCTAGACATTTCAACATATGTGGGAACAGGGTGCAGATGACTATCGCCTCTCCGCTTTCGCTTCCACAGACACGCTTTACTGATTTCTGAGTCCAGGTCTGATCCTTCGGCTTCGGCCGTGTGGAGAAACTAAAATCTCCCTGAAGTAGTTTCACCTTTGCCTCACATCCAGGGGAATGAAAAGACACGGCGCAGGATATAAAACCTCCCTGCAGGGATGGAGGGGGGAGGTGAGGGAGGTGAAGAATCGTCCCTCTGTGTGCTCAGCTCCCCATTTACTGCCTTTATTTATCTGCTGCAGCAAAGAGGGTGGACGTATGATGGAGGAGGAGGAGGGTGGAGGATTGCATGTTTTCCTCCCTGGCTCAGCCACTCTGTCTCCAGGCCACCGGGGGGGAAGAGGAGGAGGAGGGAGGCAAGGCAGACAGAGGAGAGAGCGCTGGAGACGTGAAACCTGATCTCCTTCCCCTACCTCCTCCTCCTCCTCCCCTCCATCCCTCCTGCACCACTGCCACCTCGCCAGAGAGCCTCCGAGACTCCCTCAGTAATCTGATCCTCGGCCTCCGAGACTGGAAACACACTCCGAGAGAGAAGCAGGGAGGAGGAGGAGGGAAGAAAAGAAGAAATGGAGGTGAAAAACAAGGGGAAGGAAAAGGGAGGATAGAAATAGAGCCGAGGAGAGAGAGAGAGAGAGAGAGAGAGAGAGAGAGAGAGATCTCCGAGCTCTGCCTCCAAGTCTGGAAACACTCCCAGGAGAGAGAAAGCCGAGACGAAGGAGAGGAGGGAAGAAACGAGCAGAGAAAACAAGACGACTGCAGACTAGAAAGGAAGAGAAAGAAAGGCCCGAGTTTGTGAGCTGTTTTATAAAACACACAAAATGTGAGCTGATGCTCTTCCAAAGTTAGTTCTGGTGCTGATGAAGAGAAACAATCAAGATTTAAACTTTGCTTTCAGGGAGACGGTGCTTCTGCACTGAGATGGAGAACAAACGGAACAGAAAAGAGAAACGAGGATGAAGAGTCTGACAGAATCTGACAGAATCACATGCCGTTCAGTCAATAAAAGAAAAAATGAGCTTATTCACACCCAGCAGAGCGCTGATGTTTAAGGTGCTGGACAAACTGAAAATTAAAAAGTGCGTGCTGCTCTCGGAGCGTAGCAGCAGAGCGACACAAACACCAACTCACGAATATAGTCCCTGTAGGAGTATAAATCCAGCGCTCCTTCTCTGCTTTTCATTGGCTCCCTCCTTCTCCCACGAGGGGAAAACACGCACAGATAGAGAAATAACTGTCCTGTGAAATATTAACTGAAACCAGCGCGTCCCAGAAATAATTCCATCGCGCTTGACAGATCTTTGGTCGCCCTGAGCGTTGAAAATAAAAGCAGCCAATGTAAAGAAAGGGTTTGGTTGGATTTAAAACATTTGCTCTACGTGCTGCCGCGACATCCACCAACGTGTCCCTGAGCGGGCCTTCAAACAGCCTTCAAACTCGAAGGAAATAACGATTTGATATTATCGTGATAATTATCGATATCCAAAGATATGAAACTTTTTATCGCGATAACATTTTGGGCCGTATCGTCCAGCCCTAGGCTGAAGGTGTGTTTGTTAGTCTGAACCCATCCAGTTTCTCCCCGTCTAGACTCCACCAGCATCGGTCTTTCCCTGGAGACCGGTCTGGTCCCAGTCCATAAGTCAGGACTGACCCCGGGCTCTGCTGTCACCTTGTAAGAATAGATCTGCGGCTGAGCGACAACACAGACTAATCAGTGGGAGAAAGAGATAACGTGGCGTCTGTCCTCAGCAAGAGGCGACAGAATAGAAAAGAAAATGTGGCGAGACGTAGGGCTGCACAATATATCGTTTCAGCATCGTCATCGCAAATGGGCCCATGCACAAAAGTCACATGGCAGGACAGTGCAACGCCAAGCCAGTCAAATTAACTGTTTAAAATATCTTTACAGCATTAAAGCTCAAGAAAGGATGGTTTGCACTCAAAAAAGTCGTCAGACTAAAGAGACATTTCAGGGTTTTTTTTGTATTATTATTTATTTCCTATGCAGTTTCCCTACAAAATCACCTCAATCATTCTGGGATGCTTAATGGAGGAATCGAAGTCATCTGGTGAAAATTCCTGTTTGTTTTTTTTAATTAAGAAATATTGTGCAGCCCTACTTCCAACGATTATAAAAACACGTTCATCCAATTAAAACTATTATTGTGCGCACGCTGTTGTGTGTAGAATCAAACGTTATTCGTCTTGTTTAATCTCCGTTTCTACAGATGAGTAATAGGGTATAAGTTGTACAGGAGAGACTTAGTGTTCCCTT